CTGTTGTTTTATATAAAAAAAATTAAATAGATAACTGTCGTATTATCACACCAATTTTATTTTTATATTTAAAAATTATTTTAAAAAATAAGAAAATGCAGATTTTCTTTTATAAATATAATAAATTTATTGAATTCCTCGAAAGGATCTGTATTTGTGGGAACTTTTTAGTAAAAGATTTAAAGAATAAAATAATAAGAAATAAAAACATAAAGAAAACCCTAGATTAAAGTACAATTAACAAAAACTACAGATCTAAAACTGTAATTTGGGCAAAAAATTTCAACATCAGCTTGACAGTTTACGCGACAAATTTGTATTTCTTCATGATACGAGCGGCAGTTCAAATGTTATCAGGACTCGGGGCAGAAGAGAAAAACAGCTCCACGGCAGTCCCGGCGGCTCGGCTGAAGGTGCCTTTGACGTAATCGGGGATTTGGCAACTACAGGTCATGGCCGGGGTGTAGGACAGGGATAGTGTGGCAACCAGCGAAATCAGTAGCAGTTAACATCAGTGAGCAGATTGCAATATATAAATGGGAAGCAAAGTTTACTTTCATTATAATCATACCGACTCTTGCAGGTTTGCGAGGTGGACTTCTAGGTACTCGCTCTATCTCTCTCTCTCTCTCTCTCTCTCTATATATGTATATATATATATATTTATGTTATTTCCAATTTGATTATCTTTTCATGGCTTTTGCTTCTCTTTTGATTCTAATTCTTCAGTTGTAATTTCTGTTTTTTTTTTGGGCTCATGGGTGAATATTCCTTTACAGAGTTCGTAAGGAATGATAAATTGGGAAATATTTTTGAACAAATAAAAATAAATTTCTTATTGACAGAATTCTAAGTTCAATCCTGTAACCTAGCTGCATTAGCTTAATTGTCAGTTGGCCTATTTGGAGTCGGCCATCTAATGTCGCTACTAAGAGGATTTGTCCAGTAGACAGTGCTTCTACTCTTTTTGCAGTATTTCTTGCGGTAAAAGTTACTTTGTTGTTTAATTGAAAACTTTCTATCTTACAAACATTCTGTATTGCAGTAACTTAACTTGCAATAAGATTATGTGATTACCGCATAAAGTTAATACATTATTATGAAATATATTAGAATATTATCTTCGACTATAGTGGAGTATATCCATTTCCTGTTAGTGATTGAGTTTTGCTACCTTTTTTTCAAGAAAAAAATTACTTTGTTACTTAATTGATAACTTTCTATCTTACAAATATTCTGTATTGCAGTAACTTAACTTACAATAAGATTACGTGATTACCGCATAAAGTTAATACGTTATTATGAAATATATTAAAATATTATCTTCGACTATAGTGAAGTAGATCCATTTCCTGTTAGTGATTGAGTTTTGCTACCTCTTTTTCAAAAAAAAAATTACTTTGTTGCTTAATTGATAACTTTCTATCTTACAAACATTCTGTATTGGAATAACTTAACTTACAATAAGATTACGTGATTACTGCATAAAGTTAATACATCAGTATGAAATATATTAGAATATTATCTTCGACTATAGTGGAGTAGATCCATTTCCTGTTAGTGATTGAGTTTTGCTACCTCTTTTTCAAGAAAAAATTTACCTTGTTGCTTAATTGATAACTTTCTATCTTACAAATATTCTGTATTGCAGTAATTTTGTAACGGCCCCGGAAATTTAAAATGAAATATGTGTATTAAAAATGTCAAATGCGGAAGCGAAGTCAAAATTTCGATTAACATCTCTTACAGTAAAACCAAAAACGTGCTCAAAATATAAAAGATCAAACTAAGTAAAAGAGAAATTTGAAAGTAAAAGTTATGAATATAACTATGGAGTCTTTAGGCGTCCCCTTCGTCGTCTTCCTGCGGAACGGGCTCGGGAACAATGTTTTCCTGATCTGAAATGATTAAATAAGGAATGAGCTACACTAGCCCAGTAAAAACATCACGATATCTCACCGTCACGGAGGTAAAGGTGGGTAGAAAACACAAGAAGACCAATGGAGTATGATTTACAACAAATATTTTTATTAATAATAAAACCTTTACCATCCACTTATCTCGGTGAAATTCATAAAACAATATACGAAAGCAATAACATTATCATCATCATGAAATCATATAAACTGTATAACATAATACTTATCACGTCTTTTGTAATTCAATCATTACACAACATATTTTTCCTCATTTACCAGCCTACTAGTATCCATGGGGATCCATAGGGGTCCCGCTACCCGTTAACCCTTAACACTTGTAATCAGATTCCAGGGCCGTCCCCATACCCCGTCTGGTATGGGCGCCAAAACTATAAACCTCAATACTCCGTCCGGTATGACGGTGAAACGGGCCGTCCCCATACCCCGTCCGGTATGGGCGCCAAAACACATAAGGTCCCCATACTCCGTCTGGTATGAGAGACCACAACCCCGGTAGGGTTCCTTACGGACCCGATCCGTCCACCATCTCCCAGGATATCTAGTCAGGCTGACCACATTATACAATTATCAATCTACATAATCTTTCATTCTCCTTTTCCTCAGTCAACATCATCAATTCACATACAAACAAGCAAAACAGTAATTTATGCCAAATAAGACAACATACAGCATCGGTTTCTCAGTCATTCAACCCATAATCAATAAAACAGTAAAATATGCACACGAAACTATGAAATGAAAACATCAAACCTCATACTGCATTTAAAACTGTAAAATAGGCCAAATAACAGTTAACCGACAAACACACTAGACTCGGGCTCCATTAGCGATCTTAAGTAATTTCACACATTCGTTGATTCAAGAAATACCGTTTTATCATTATTGAACTTTAATACCGTGATAAGAAATAGGGTGAGGGGTCCTTACTCGTTTCGGGGTCCGAACACGGCTTCACAGTGCGCCTACAGGCTGTCCCTAATTTTCCCTGAATTTTTTCCGGGGAACTGAAACACACTACCGGTACCTGCACATGTTCCAAAAAATCCCAAATTAGGCCCAGGGCCCCTTTTTGGCCAATATCGCAATTCCGGCACGGCGGCGATTCGCCTCGAGTTGGCCGTTTTCGGCCGTTTTCGGCTGAATTCGGCCACATTTGCATCGCTCCCTGCGATAAAACAACCCTAGGGCCCTCGGGGGGCCAAAAAATTACGGAAAACCGAAGCTTACCGGCGGCGGTGCTCTCGGGTGCGGCGGCTCTCCGGTGAGGTTCGTGTTTTGGTGATTCGGCTCCGATCAACCTGTAGAGAAAAGAATGGTGATCACGGCGATATAAAAATTGCATCAAACGGAGGCCGGGAAGGGCCTCATCGGAGGCAAAACCCGAGGAGGGGCGCGGCGGCGCCGCTGGGTTTCGGCCGTTTGGCCGGGATTTTGGCTCCGATTTGGCCACAGGGGAAATCAGCGTGGAAAAACGAGTCGGGAGTATGAAATTTACCTCGATCGGCGGTCGGAAATCTCCCCGGTGCGGCGGCGGGTGGCGGCGGCCGGCTTCTCCGGCGTCTGGTTCGTCTTCTCCGGCGAGGGCAGGCGGCTAGGGTTTTTGTGGTCAGGTGTGGGGGTTCTATTTATACCCTTTTGTCTTTTGATCTCAGCCGTCCATTTTGATTTAATCTGGGCCGTCCGTTTTTTATTGAATCTGGGCCGTCCGTGCGATTGCATTTGGACCGTTCGTGCGCACGCTTGATCTGGGTCGTCCGATCGCGCGTACGCGGATCGCCAACGTGGCCCGTCCCCGGTCAACGTGGTCTTTCCACGTGGCAGGTCCTGGTTGGCCAAGACTGCTGACTGGGCCTGCTGACGTGGTGCTTTTTTTTTTTTTTTAAATAAACTTAATAAAAATAATTAATGAGAAAATTACAAAAATACCCATGTTTGGGCGTTACAAATTTAACTTGCAATAAGATTATGTGATTACCGCATAAAGTTAATACATCATTATGAAATGTATTAGAATATTATTTTCGACTATAGTGGAGTAGATCCATTTCCTGTTAGTGATTAAGTTTTGCTACCTCTTTTTCAAGAAAAAAATTACTTTGTTGCTTAATTGATAATTTTCTATCTTACAAACATTCTGTATTGCAGTAACTTAACTTACAATAAGATTACGTGATTACCGCATAAAGTTAATACATCATTATGAAATATATTAGAATATTATCTTCAACTATAGTGGAGTAGATCCATTTCCTGTTAGTGATTGAGTTTTGCTACCTCTTTTTCAAGAAAAAAAATTACTTTGTTGCTTAATTGATAACTTTCTATTTTACAAACATTCTGTATTGCAGTAACTTAACTTGCAATAAGATTACATGATTACCGCATAAAGTTAATACATCATTATGAAATATATTAGAATATTATCTTCGACTATAGTGGAGTAGATCTATTTCCTGTTAGTGATTGAGTTTTGCTATCTCTTTTTCAAGAAAAAAATTACTTTGTTACTTAATTGATAACTTTCTATCTTACAAACATTCTGTATTGCAATAACTTAACTTGCAATAAGATTACGTGATTACTGCATAAAGTTAATACATCATTATGAAATATATTAGAATATTATCTTCGACTATAGTGGAGTAGATCCATTTCCTGTTAGTGACTGAATTTTGCTACCTCTTTTTCAAAAAAACAATCTATTTAGTTGACTGTTGTGAACATTGGTTTTGGCAGGGAAAGCTACCAGTTTATGTATGCCAGGCCTTGGCACGATGTAATTGATTTTTACTCAAAGTTGGTCAGTGGGAATGTTTCGTTGTCACAATTGTTTGGAACCAAGGTGGGTCGCTGTTGGGATGTTAGTTTTGTGTTATTTTTGGTTGCCTCCTGGTGTCATATTTTAGAGCAGTTATCATCTAAAATGTTCATTTGACTTAACACTGACAATATTTGATTCATTTCATAATTGCATACCAGCAGGAATATTAAAACTGGATCCTTATTTTTATTGTTTTGGAATAATCCGTAAGAACGAAGTCACAGTAGGATCTTCATCTTCTTTTTCTTCTTTATCGCTAAAGAGATGAGGCTAGGGTCCAAACTCAAGAAATTGAGCTCCATTAAGAGAACTTCATATTATCTGAGTTACATGCTCTTAACAAGCATGTTCTGAATATAGCATGTTCTTTTGAGAAGGTTTCAGGGAAAGTTCGGTAAATTCACGGAATAAACTTGCATAGTCTCTTCTCTGATTCTGGTTCATGTAGCAGACTAGAATGATCCATCTTTTCTCTTCCTTGTTAGTTCATTATGGGGAATGATCATACTTCTTTTTCTTAGGAATGCTAGCAGAATCTCACAAGGCACCTGTACATATGCACCATATGCTGAAATATGATTTCTTGTGTGTCTGCTTTTGAAACTATGATTGTCGATGCAAAGAATTAAACAATATCAGTAATCTAGTCATTTTTAACTTTTTATTACTCATTCTAGAAATTCTCTGCAGACATGTGTTGTGTGTGATGATAGTAAAATGCAACGAGATTATTCAGAAGTTCGTGAATTGGAGAATGTTTCTTCCAAAGATAGGTTGGGGAGGTGGGCAAGAGTAACATTCAAAATAGTTCTTTCTTATCATGGGGATTCATTTGATGGATGGCAGAAGCAGCCTGGCTTGAACACAGTTCAAGGGTAAGTTGTTTTCATCAACTTTCAAGTTATTTAAGGAATCCAATAAAATGAATGGCTCTCAGGCTCTTAATAGGTTCTTTCTTCTAGATTTTTTACTTTAAGGTGTTAAGATTTGTTATATATTTCTGAGATAAGTTTAGTTTATTTCTTTTAATAATCTAATATCAATTTCCCATGTGTTGGTACAGACATTTTTTTCTGACGTCAAAGGAATCAGTCATATATCTGATCATTTACCATGCCATGGAAAATGCTCCATGGTTTTTTCTTTCGGTTTTCAATGTGCAAATGGTGTTGCTAACCAGTAACATGAGAAAATTAGCCTGAAAGAAAATGAGCTTGCCAAAAACAAAGATTGACGAAATTAAAATAAGTACACAGCATTCTGGCAAAGGTCTTCTATTTCGAAGTTCTAAGTTGCATCGCTTCTCCGTATGATATAAACGGATTTGATATTTTTTTTTAATCCATATGAATTAAAAGCTCCTCGTTACCATATATATGAGGTGAATTATCAATTGTTATACTGTCTCTTCTCAGACTTACATTGAACAATTCTGAGAAATTTGAGTCAATTGGTGTTGATTGAACTTAAAGTTTTAAAGAATCACTCTCAGGGGATGAATCAAACATAAACCATTAATTGGTTTATGTGGGTGTTTGACACTAATGAGAAGTCAACAAAGAAATAAGATCTAGCCAATAGACATCTAGATAAATATTATGTATTGGCAGAGAATTCCTATCTCTTAAATAAATGTATTTTCAGTTTCCAAATATGATATAGGGAAAATTGCTTTAAAACAAAGTTTAAACTAAATAATGATTCAAAGCAGTAGTGCAATGAATGTTTGTATGACATAACCATGAATCCTGATATTTTTAAATTTATCCTGCATTATAACTTTTTTTTTTTAATTTTCTTTTTCATTTTTTCTTCTACTTTTGTTTACTTTCTACAGTTTAGTAGAAAAATATCTTGGGAGTTTTGTCGATGATAAGAAAGCTCAACAGCTCAAAGACAAATGTAAACCATTGGAAGGCTGTGCTGTTGTTGCTGGGCGCACTGACAAAGGAGTCTCTGCTCTTCAACAAGTTTGTTCATTTTGTCTGTCAACCCTTATTATCCTAATTGCAGTTATTCAAGATTTACCATCTAATGCAATTTGAATTGACCTTCCTTCCCTATCTGTTCAGATACTTGGAGAAAGGATATTAAACCTTGTGATATTGAAGATGCCATCAATACCGCAGCACCAGGAAAGCTCAGAGTTTTATCAGTCTCTGAGGTAACTGTTTCTTAAAGTTCCTGAGCAGTTGATTTCTAAAGTTGATAACAAAACTGGATGAAGAGTACATGTTTGTAGAACAACAATTTTTATGAACTGATTACAGTTATTGCTGTAGGTTTCACGCGTGTTCCATCCTAATTTTTCTGCCAAATGGAGACGATACTTATATATTTTCCCCTTAAATGATGGGGAAGAATGCTGTGAGAATGAAAAGGCTGTTGTGAATTTTGGCTCTGATAAAAATCAAGTGGAGCAAATAGATGAATGTGACAAACACATGGGCGAGAAGAATATTGAAGACTTGATTATTAGTGATGACGCTGAGCTTGAAGCTGGAGAGAAACCAAAGAGCTTCAATGTATCCAGGGTAGATCAACTACTAAGGAAACTTGAAGGAAAATTACTCTCCTACAAGATGTTTGCACGTGATACAAAACCTTCAAGAAATGTGTAAGAATTGTGAAACAGACGCACTGTAAGAATTTGCATTGCTAGGTTATCCACACTCATATTGCGTGGCTTACCTGTGGTTCAGAGTAGATTGCCTAAATTTCTTCTATTTAGAAGACTAGGTTAGCTGTCTGTCTAAACAGATTGTTTTCATTACAGAATTTTTATGTGTAATTTATGTACATACACATATACATACATATATATATATATATATATCTTTAAAAATTTTCAAGTTTTCATTTTTTTTTCATCTGTTTTATTCCATAAAATGTTTTGTTTGCTTTTTGAAAATTTCATTTTTTTATTTCTTTACTGTAAGAATTAAATGTATAACCTGCCTAGCCCCTCTATACACCTCTGGTCTTTAATGCTAAATTAAAGCCCTATACAGATTTGAACTTCTGAGCCAGTTGTCATTCAATATGATTCTTGACTAGCACTTCTTTTTGTTTCAGAGGTCCAGCAACAGAATGTTTCATCTACCATGCTCGAGCCACAGAAGCCATCTTACCATGTTCTGTAAGTGTGTTGCTATTATCTCTCTTGAAACTTTAGGGGCTACAATGTAGTTTTATCAAAGAAGTTTATATTTTCCTTTTTTTCTCCAATCTTTTGGAAAAAGTGATTGCTGCCTTGAATTAACAATGCTAAATGTGGGGTTCAGTAGTTTCTTGCAATGGTTCTGAGTACTTTTCTAAACTCTGGGATCAAAATGTTGGCAAATACAACAAAAAGTACATTGATCAATTGCAGAATCATAGGAACCATTATCTCAGATAACTTCTGGAAATGCATCTTTACGTGAGTTGACTTATGTTTTGTTTCAGGTCTTTGTCCTTTTATTATGAAGGGTGAAATGACCTGCATGACTGTATGCTAACATTTCTGCATTTTGTTCTTGCAGGACAATGAGGGAGAAATAAAGGTTATGTGTGTCGAGCTTGTTGCCAATCGATTCCTTCGCAAGGTTTATCTTGTTTATTTTTTATTTTTTCAACCTAAATTTATTATGCTAGGGTGGGGAAGTGCCGCATTTTTAAGCTTGGCTTATTAGTTTTATTGATTTTTCCCGTGAAACTGTTCTAGAAATTATAGAAGTAGTAGTATTTGTTATAATACAATATAAAGAATGAATTAGAACACTTTCCTAGTAGCTTAGGTTTTGAGAAATTTTAGTTATAACTTATTGTTGAACCAGGTATTAAAGCTTTAGGTCCTATAACCGAGCCTCTCCTACATATTTCTCTTGCTTAGTTGGCTTTTACTATTTGTAGTCCATAATTTGGTTTTGTTCATATCTAATCTCTTATGCATGAAGGAAAGGTTTTATCAATAATAAATTGGACTCTAATATTTAACTTCGTGTATTTAATTTCTAAAAAATTCGCTGGTTAGAATTTGATTCTCTGGTGTCAAGATTAAATTTCAGTTGACAGAGTATTTGGTTAGCAGACAATTAATTTGCTATTCTAATGTGATGTTATTTGTACAGATGGTTCGGGTGCTGGTGGCGACTTCAATAAGAGAAGCAGCTGCAGGTGCAGAAGATGATGCTTTACTAAACCTAATGGACGCTACCTGCAGACGAGCCACTGCTCCTCCAGCGCCCCCTGATGGCCTTTGTCTTGTTGATGTTGGCTATTCCGAGTTTGACCAACAGGAATGCTTCATCAATTAAGGATTTAGGTTTTTCTCCACTCTCTTGGCAGATTTCGTCATACATATATATTATATATATGTATAAGAATCTCTTTTTGATGAAAAGAAAGAGAAGATGGGCGAATGCTAGTAGTGATTAACATCATTAACAAGGGCTTTGTCTGTATTAGGAAGAAGGCACTGATGTTTTACAAAGAATGATTCAATTCATCAAACATATATGGCTTGCATGTAAAACTGTGGCATGAATTTTATCCCATCTGGGATAATCTTCTTAGTGATCGCATACATCATTAAAATTTTACGATTTACAGTCTCATCATCTGTTGGAATTTTCTTTAATTTACTGTATTTGACAAGTTGTTCATTGGAATTTGGAGGTAAAATTTTCTTGTAGATACCAGAAAGCAGGTAAAGTTTTCCCACATTTGTAGAAATGATAACTTAGGTTAAATATATATCATCACCATGTGATCTGTATTCCTGTTCTAAAAAAGGGTAGTGTCAACAAAAATTGAAGAATAGGAATTTTGTTATGTTGCAAACAATCGCTAGATACACATGATGATCAAGATTGTAGATAAAAATGAAATGGGTAATGATGATATGGTTACACAAATATATAATATACATATATAGAGATTGAATCCAAAACCAAAAACCAAGAAAAGGAAAAGACATGTAAGAGAGAATTTAAGGGAGAATTCAAAGGTAACCCGCGGATATTTCTTTGAAGAACTGACCAGTCAACAATCCCTCTTCCCATGCAAAAACCTTGAGAAGACTTCGTCAACTCTAAGCCAGCAAGGCACCTTCACCTCTCTACCTGTCTCTGTTTCATTCTCTAACTTATTAGATAATCTCAGCCGTTCATCATTAAAATCTAATCAGAAAGAAAAATTTACAGATAATTCTCTGGTAAAAAATTTCATCCGGACCAATCAAATTATTCAAACCAAGCACGTCCTAAATGATTCTGATTCTCTGAAACTATCTTTTTTTCTGTCCTTTGTCTCTGACTATGCATGCATGTAGGCAGCCTGTGTGTAATTCTGATTCAGTTTTCTATTCTTAGAAACCTCCATTTTCTTCTCCTTCTCTCTCATTTTCTTTGCCACTCAATTCATCTCCTTTCCCTTCTCCCCTGTTTCTTCTCCCCTCATTACTTCCTCGCCCGCTCTCGCTCCCCTTTCCTTCTCAAGGGCGCGCACGCCGCCCCGACTCGTGCGCGTACCTCCTCCTCTCATGGCTTCCTTGCGCCATCCTCACCACCTTCTTTTTCTTCTCTTCCTTTGTTTTTCTCCTCTCGCTGCTGATTTCTCATCTGCTGTATCAGACTCCGAGGCCCTCCTCGCCTTCAAATCCTCCCTCAAAGACGAAACCAACGCTTTATCCTCCTGGGAAAACACCTCCTCCCCCTGCAATGGCGAAGTCGCCAACTGGGTTGGCGTTCTCTGCAACAAAGGCGCAGTGTGGGGCGTCCAGCTGGAGAACAAAGTGCTTTCGGGGACTATCAATGTCGACGCATTGAAGGATTTGGCTAACTTGAGGACTCTAAGCTTCATGCAAAATAATTTCCAAGGGTCATTGCCGGAGATTAACAAACTAGGTGTGCTGAAATCTCTCTATCTGTCAGGAAACCGGTTTTCCGGGCAGATTCCGGGGGATGCTTTTAAAGGGATGTTGTCATTGAAGAAGGTTCACTTGGCACAGAATGGTTTTACGGGCGGTATTCCGGCTTCATTAGGGTCTTTGCCGAAGCTTATTGAGCTGAGGCTTGAAGAAAACCAGTTTACTGGCGCCATTCCTGAATTTGACCATCAGTTGCAGGATTTAAACATATCTCAAAATGCCCTCACAGGTCCTATTCCCCGAGCTCTTACCAACATGAAACCCGATTCTTTTCAAGGTCAGCCTCATATATATATATATATATATATAGATATAGATATATAATATTTAATTATATTTTGTTTATTATTATAATAATTATTGATTACTACTAACAGAGTGATATTAAGGATTAACATTATTTATTTAATTATTTTTAATCAATTAATCCTTTTTAAGAAAAACACGTGTCTATTGTCTATTGGTTGAAAAGGGAATAAGGATCTATGCGGACAACCATTAAACGCGTGCGCTACACCTCCCGCTCTCGTCAGCGCGAGTCAGCCGAATCAGCCGACTCAGCCGGCCGCCATTACCAGCAAGAAGGTTCCAGTGTCGGGAATAGCCGTCATGGCGGTAATTTCAGGCGCCGCCACTCTAGCCATCCTTCTCGCCGTTTTCATGGCTGTACGCAAACGGCAGAACCGAGCTGACTCAATCGAGGCACCGACGCCATCAAACCTTCAAAAGAAGAGCGGAATCAGGGACTCAGACCAGGCGTCACAGGCCTCGTCGGATATTTCTGGAAGTATGGGGAAGAAGCCAGATGGCACGAAGCTGTCGTTCGTGAGGGACGATAGGGAAAAGTTCGACCTTCCGGATTTGCTGAAGGCATCGGCTGAGATTCTGGGTAGCGGCTGCTTCGGGTCGTCGTACAAGGCGGCTCTTGTTACTGGTCCGATAATGGTGGTGAAGAGGTTCAAGCAAATGAACAATGTGGGGAGAGAGGAGTTTCAGGAACATATGAGAAGGATTGGCAGGTTAAGACATGTGAATCTTCTTCCTTTAGTGGCTTACTATTATAGGAAAGAGGAGAAGCTCTTGGTTACTGATTATGTTGAGAGAGGAAGCTTGGCTGTTCATCTCCATGGTACGTTATATGTAGAAATTTATACATTTATATATATATATATATATATACATCACAGCTGAACTCAACCCAAATATTCATTTTTGTAATGGTTTCATTCAGGTCATCAAACTTTGGGGCAGCCAAGCCTAGACTGGCCAATCAGGCTAAAGATCATCAAGGGAGTAGCCAGGGGACTTCAGTACATCTATAAAGAGCTACCAAGCTTAATCGCACCTCATGGTCATTTAAAATCTTCAAACATTCTACTTAGTCAAAATTCTGAGCCCCTCCTTACTGATTATGGGTTGATCCCTGTGATCAACCAAGAGAGTTCTCAAGAATTCATGGTGGCCTACAAATCCCCTGAATACAAGCAACTCGGCCGCATCACAAAGAAGACTGATGTCTGGGGCTTTGGTATACTCATTCTCGAGATCTTGACCGGGAAATTCCCGACTAACTTTGTGCAAAAAGGGAAAGGAAATGAAGAAGATTTGGCAACATGGGTGAACTCAGTTTTCACCGGAGAGTTTTCCACAGAGGTTTTTGATAAGGAGATGGAGGCTGCAAAGAACAGTGCAGGTGAAATTGTGAAACTGTTGAAGATCGGCCTCGCTTGCTGTGAATCAGACGTGGAGAAAAGGGTGGATTTAAAGGAGGCAATTGAGAAGATTGAAGAGTTGAAGGAGAAGGAAGGAGAAGATGATTTCTACTCTTCTTATGCTAGTGAAGCAGATGCCAAGTCTTCAAGAGCAGTGTCTGATGATTTCACTTTTTCATGATTGGTTACCAATTCTTTTTTTTTTTTCTCGGCTAAAAATTTATTTAATCTCTTTCGATTTCAATTTCTCTTTAGTGGGGGGATTTAAATTAATTAATGGGTTTTTCTTAATGAAATCTGTTTGAGCAATTTCAGAGTGTACAAGAGGGGTGGAGGTTTTCAGGGTCTGGTGCATGTGCAGGTGCTGTGTGCCAATTTTTCTTTTTCTTCTAAGAAGCTGTAGGGTGGAAAGTTGCAGTTGATATGGGGTTGTTTGGTCAATGCAATCTAATTTTTGTTTTTCATGCCATACAGTTTACATATATACGTACAGGGGTATAAACAGAGAGACTTCTACGCATGCTCCAGTTTTCATAACTCCTCTATCCCTCTTTCATCTCCATGGGGGTTTTAAGATCATGTTGACCTATTTGGCATGTACGGCCACCTTGTTATGTTCTAAATCATTAATGATCAACTCTGTTAATATATTTATTTAGTATACCAACTCAGTTTATCAACCAAATTGTAAATACTTAGCATTACTAACCCATTTAGTTTTCCCTTGAATTTGTACTGATGCTCCTCAAATCTCCATATGTTCCTTGAATTCATATTTTAACTATCAGAGGGTGAAAAATCTAACTCCTGGATAATTTTAAATGAAAATGAGATAATAGATACTTCAATTATACAAAAATTGGTCAAACTTGAAATGTGTTCTCCCTCAATTCTACTTAAAATCTGTCTAAGAGCTCAATTTTCATAATTTTGGAAGAGATCTCCATGCTTACACAGTTAAAATAGGTAAAAAATTTCCACAAATCCAAGAACAGAACTCATTTGTTCCAGACATAGCCTTTAAAAGCCGTATTATGTAATGCATGTTTAAAAAACAGTAGTCATACAGATTTCAAAAAATGCAGGATTTTTCATCATCAATAATAACTGAAAGGAGCACATGAAAGAAAAATTCATTAAGAAAGCAACATGTCACTTGAACCCTAGGCTTTTACTCTGATGAAAGAATCCCGTGGTTGTTTACATTGGAACCGAATAGTACTTCAATTCATATTAGATTGAATATTCAAGTGATTGGTTCCTCTTAGTGAAAGAATTTTTTTGATCGTACACTATGTAGGAGTAACAAGACAAGGAAAAAAAGAACTTGATCTTTAAGGTCTACCGCTTTCGTTCGGACCTCCACTTATACACTGGCCTAGAGGTTGGACAGACAATCTCGTCTTCTCGTAGCTTGCGCTTTCTGCCCTTTTTCTGCGAAAAGAAATAAGGCTCAAGTCCTCAAAGTCTCAAAATACAACTTAACAGTCAGGTAGCAGGCACCTTTAAGACGTACTACCTGTAATTCCTTTTGCAATGACATTTCGGCATATAGTTTTTCCAACTCTGTAACCCTGTTTCTCCTTGCTTCCAATTCCCTGTAGGAAGCGGCTGTTCTCCTGCACATGGAAGATTCAAAAATAATACAGTATTAATAGCCATATGGTCAGGACTCCAAAAAAAACTGTCAGAATTCAGTTATGTCAACATGAAACTTGGGTTGCCATGGCTTCCTTTGACAAATTCAATCAAAGACATGACCCAAGTATTGTTGCCCAGGAACTCGGATGCTTTCATTCCATAAACAAATGAAACCCCAAGGAAACAGTATGCAAAGCAGCACAAACAAGCATCAAAGCCAAGTACAAGGGGGAAATACTCTCAAAGAACAGCCTATCAAAGCCCGTCCTTTACACCATGCTTCCTTGTTAACTTTTCCTAAATGTTTTAATATGATAACCAACCAGATGTCATTTATAGTTGTTATCAAATCAATGTTATCAGGATCTAGGTTTTAGCAATTACAATCAATATGAACCTATGAAAAAATGATGAATTGTTCATTACTTTCTGATACGATGCGGAATATCCTCGGGAGGATGCATATGTTTGCCTTCTGAAGATTGCGACTGAATCTGTTTAGCCTCCTCCCTGCCAAAAAAAAGTGAGGAATAAAAGATATGGTCTCCTACCAAAGAACACATTTTCATTGTCATTAATCATTTCAGATATGATTATGGCAGGGAACGTTAATGCTGAAGAAGCATCTGCAAACAGTTTTTTTTTTTTAAATAAAAAGTGTAAATTATATATTAACAAGGTACTAAAATGGGGGTACTGCCCATGTAGAAAAGATTTACAATAATGTTATTGTATCAACAACATTCTTAAAATCCACATCACTAATAATGTTATGACCTAACAATATAGAACCAAAATAATGAATCCATTTATCCTTTAGTCTGGTAATGCTACTCCCTTCACTGTCAAAAGCTCTATTATTCCAAATATTACAATAATGTTACATCTGCAAACAGTTAGGACTGTGATGAAACTATCCAAATATTAAAATATGCATATTGTCCCATCAGAAAACGAGCCTACTGAGACTTTTAGCTAATACAATCAGAATCCAGTGTGCAGCAAGGAAAAGATATCATCACATAAAAGATTCAACATGCTAGCTAGCAACATTAAGCAGACATTTAAAATAGAGAGAGCCAAAGAAAGCATGTGCAGCGATGACAGCTCTAGCAGTAGGTCCCATAACATTTTCAGTGTTATTTTTTTTATGCCTATAGCAATTCCACAGCCTTGTTTGAACTTATTATGTGAATGAATTTATCAGCAGTTTTATTAGATTAAATTAGGCAGCATAAATCTGTTCCACACTAGTTCATTTGCATTGGCATATAACTTGATGACATGTAAAATTATACAACAAATAAATGTAAACAAGTTCGCTTATCGAACAGAATCTCAAAATTGTAGTATAGCTTAATAATAAATGAGATCAACAAAAAAGCAAGAAAACTAATCAAACAACTAAAAAACAATTATCACTTTACTCTATGCTTTGTCAAGCAAATGCATCAATCTCACTACAGCTAGAATCATTGAGATATATGGTTGAATTGATGGTGATGGTCAAGGTTTAGGAATTCCAACCTGTCTTCAGCATAATAAATATGTCTACTTGATGGTTGATTATCAAGAGAGTGTAGCGTAGCAGTTAGCTTTTCAATTTTCTGCAGCAAAGCCATGAATTTGTAAGAACCAATGCTCCCATATGGGAAAAAAGTTACAGAATTACTGTGAAAGCACCAAGTTACCTTTTTCTCACTTTGCAATTTTTGAGTCACATACCCTACATCTTGTGTCTTCATCAGCATGAGTTCTTCTTGAGTGTATCTGTTAGCTTGATTCCTGTGGAACAAAGAAACACAGAAAAGAAAATTCATGAGCATATTTGGATTTTGAACCGGTATATAGAAAATAGTGAAGAAGCAAAGTGATTTTGTGTGTTTACTCTGGCCTATGAACTCCATTGACAGTCTTTGTTTTGATCATCTTGAAGTAAAATTCATCTGGATTCCTGAATGCTGCTTTCTCCCTGAGTTTCTATAAACCAGATGCAAAAGCACAGAAGACAAGCACGACTATCAGAGATAAAACATACCAAAAACTATAAAGTTAACGTAGGTTCAAACTTCAATTCTATTGAATAATAATGAGAATATAATACAAATGAAATAAAAACTTAAATAGATATAACATTCTACTTCCAAGTTAATACTATGTCTGATGTTAAACTAATTTTTTTTTTTAATTTCTCCCTATCATAAGTGAGAATATAAATTTGTTATTATGAAACCAAAGACATAATTGAGTTTCTATAAACCAGATGCAAAAGCACAGAAGACAAGCACCACTATCAGAGATAAAACATACCAAAAACTATAAAGTTGACGTAGGTTCAAACTTCAATTCTATTGAATAATAATGAGAATATAATACAAATGAAATAAAAACTTAAATAGATATAACAGTCTACTTCCAAGTTAATACTATGTCTGATTTTAAACTATTTTTTTTTTTTAATTTCTCCCTATCATAAGTGAGAATATAAATTTGTTATTATGAAACCAAAGACATAATTGAGATCATGGTCTAAGGTCTACATTCCACTCTATCGTATCAATAAGAATAGAATGAGAATGGATTTTAACCAAACCCATCACTTGATTGCCAGTTACATGGAGGGGAAAAAATCCCAAAAAAAGAAGAGAAGACTGCAGCAGCCATGTTATACAAATAAAGAAACGGTAATTACCCGTAAAGTCTCCTCCTTTCTGTGGAACGATTTAGCACGAACAACATAGTCCTTATGCTTTTCAAGAAGCCCAAATTTTTTCCTCGATTGACTGCACAGAAATCACACTTGCTTCCGTCAATTGAACAGAGCCAAATACAACAAAATACAACCAAGATGCACAACCCTATATATATATGCAGTGCGTAAAATAAATGCAAATTATATAGTAAAAGAAAGTGGAGTAACTCACGGTTGAGCTCGCTCCTTTATGAGCCCGTCTAGGGATAGCGTTCTTTAGAGAAGACATCTTCAAGCGATCAGTGGATACCCTATACTGCAGAAACAGCCGCAAATATGTTAAAAACCTGAGCCTGAAAATCCTCCAAATCTGAAACAAATACAAGATTAACCGCTAAAACTATTCAAATATTCAAGACTTACAATAAAAATCAGTAAAAAGAGCAAGGGAAACACCTGATACCAGTGCGGCAGCTCGTCCCGTGAAGAAGCCGCCTCTGGTTTCTGTTTTGCAGCCGAAAACCGGGGAAGAAGAAGCGGTATATAGACTCCCAAACCGCGCGCACCAACAGCTGCGAAGCACGAGATCGTGGCCACGCCCGTTTAATGAAACGGTGCGTCTTGGCACCTACATGGGCTGGGCCGAAGAGGAACCGGGCCTTGCTCTCTGCGTTTTTTCATACGGCCCGTTTGACAAAATCCGTATGGGAATTTCATTATTGATAACAATAAAAAAAATGTAATATTATTGTTAATTTATTAATATATTAATTTAATAAATTAGTTAAAGTCATTTTTTCAATTTATTTTTCAAAACATCCAAATATAATCTGATCATTTTAATTTTTTCTGTTTAAAAATGTTTTCAATAAATAGAAAATAATAAAAAAAAAAGAATTTAGAGAATAAATTTTAATAAATATTAAATTTTAGGAATTAATTTGATAATTTACCGTAAAAAGTATAAAAAAAAAAAAAAATTTGCTGGAGAAATTACAAAAAGAAATTCATGTACTCGTCCTAATTACCTGGAAACTAATTACCTGGGTTAATTCTTTTTGATGAAGCTGGACAGACATTGTTTTGTCCAGCAATTCATCATTTTTGTACATTAACTGCCCGTGAATAATGGCTTCTTCCTCAACAAAAAAACCTAACATTTTGTTGCATATTAATTTATGTTGTTTCTTCATTTTTAATTTTCAAATCTTAAATTCGACTTAAATCTGTTTATTTCCGAATATTTTTCGGGGAGAAATTTTGGGATCGGAGAGGAAAAATGCGAATATGGAACCGGAGAGGAGAAGGCATAGATAGAAGCCTGAGGCGAAGAGAAGGATTAGTGGCAGTCGCCGTAGACAATGATAAATCGAGCCAACGAGCTCTCAAATGGGCTGTTGAACATTATATTCCCCGTGGTAGATGCATTAATCTCGTTCACGTTAAACAAAAATCGTCATCTTCCTCCTCAGGTATCATTATTAATTTTATTTAATTTATTTTTCGTAGAATTCGTGAGTTCATTTTTTCGTCGCCATTGAAACTCAATAAACAAAATAATATTTTTTTCTGATTCTAAATTTATTTTTTCTTTTTCGTACAAATTTTTTTATTCTTATTTTTATTACTATTGTATCAAATAGGAAACCACGATGCGTTAACAGAAACACAGTTTCATAATCAGACAATAGAAATGTTTCGATCATTGCGTTGTTTCTGCCTTCGAAGACAAGTAAAATGTTCTCAATCTCTTTTTATCTTAAGATTTCTCTCCGTTAATAACCTATACAAATTTTTTCTTTCGAATTTCATACAATTTAATTTTTTATTTTTTTAAAATTTAAAATTTACTAAATAAAACTTCTAACAAAATCGAACAACTTTAATGAATAAGGTACAAAGCGAAATCGCAATAGTCGAGGATCAAGATGTGGCGAAGGCACTCATTGAATATGTTCATCAGAATGGTGTTGCCACTTTGATGCTTGGTGCACCATCAAAGAATAGCCTAGCCAGGTAATTAAATTATATTTATTAATGTTATATAGTATCGGAGTGGATCAGTCTGAAACTTATACTAATTTATCGTAAAAACTTTTCTCGTTGGATCTCCTTAGTCTGGGTGTCTCTGAGAATAGCATGAGCGCTAAATAAAAAAATCTATTAATTAAATAAAATGTAAAATTTGCAGACTGTTTAAGGGAGCAGATATACCAAGCAGTGTAATGAGATGGGCACCAGATTTCTGCAATGTGTTCATAATCTCAAAAGGGAAGCTGGCGGCTGTGAGATCTGCAAGTCGCCCAGTTCCCGCACCTTCCTCAGCTAGCCCTTCGACTGAACGCCTTTCAAATTTACACGATGAAGAACCCTATGTTATGTAAGTATGTATATAAATAATTTCTTGTTTTTAGACAAATCAATTTAGTTTGTCTTACATTTATTTAAGTACTTCTCAAAAATCTCTCAATCAGGATATAAATGAAATGTTTTGATTGAATCTGAATAATATTTAATGAATTGGGTATCTGTAACTTATACTGTAAGTTTTAAAAATGTTGAAAAGGAGACTATAAAATTTACGAAGTATTAAAATACAGGACACTGTCAAGAGAAGAAGACAGACTATACGACGAGCTGTCTCGGCTGGAATCAGACATATCGTTCGCAAGCAGCAGCTCGGGAAAGCCAGGCAGTGACGTCACTTACTTGTCATTCTACGAGAGCCTCGGCGGCAGTTTGCACGGCCGCGACTCGTCGGTGCGGCCCAAGACACTATCCAGTAGGAGCAGAAACCCTGAGTCGTTGCACTCCAGGTCTCCTAATCGTGATTTCTCTGAGGATCTCGATTTTTCTTCTCAAGACTACCTTGAAAGAGCTTCTTGTTCTTCTCAAGATACTGTAAGTATATATGTCAACGGTAATATATTGTATATGTATATATATGTTTGTATGCTTAATATCAGTGTGATTAGACGTGTGTGTATTATATTTTATGATCAGGACGAAACGGATGATGAGATGAGGAGGCTAAAGATGGAGCTCAAGCACACCATGGACATGTACCATGCTGCCTGCAAAGAAGCACTAACAGCAAAACAGAAGGTACCTGTGTGTGTATATATATGTACACACACATACATTACACAGTACATATATTTACACATAATTTACTTGCTGAATTCTAGAATCAAGTTAAACACCTACCTGCCAAACTCTTTTAATTAGTGCATGTATACATGCAATGTAATATTATTACCATGTCTATTTTTTTTATAATATAATCTGTGATCATGGATTCTGAGTTGATTTTTTTGCTGTATGTATCCTTATAATATGATTAATGTATGTATATCAATTAACTAATGAATATATATTTTTTCTTAGATTCGTACATAATATATATATATATATATGCATATGCAACTTACCAACCCAAGTACGTAAAGTTCAAATATAATAAACTAATTATTATTGAGTTAAATGGTTAACTCTATCTTTTTTTATAAAAAATTATAAATTTGAGTTATATTATATTTTTATGCATTATTTTTTAGATTTATTTTTTGATACATTATGATTAATATTTATATATTACTTAATTGATAAATATAGAATATTTAAAACTTTAAATGGAAAGAGAATTGAACCCAATTTTCTCTCTTTCTCCCTAAGTATATGCATGTATCCAATGCTGGGAGGAATGAGAAATATATAATAGGTTGATTTGGCTGCATTGATCAGGCAATAGAACTGGAAAAATGGAAGAAGCAAGAAGAGCACAGATTGGCGGAGGTAAAAAAGCTGGCAACAGAGAGCGCATCGGAGTTCATGGAGAGCGAGAAAGCGAAGCACAAGGCGGCGATGGAGTCGGTTGAGGCAAAGGAGAAAACAATGGAGCTTGAGGTGCAGAAGAGGGTGGAGGCAGAACTAAAAGCGCTTAAGGAGGCTGTGGAAAGGAGGAAGATTTTGGATGCTTTGGGCCAATCCAAAGTAGCTCTCAAGTACCAGAGCTTGCTTCACATTTTTGCTTGTCTATTTTTATTCTACTTTTATTTTTCTGTATTCATCGTTTGAAAATCAAAATTTGTGTTATTCTATACCATATTTATGACTATCACTGCAAATCTATGTATGTATATATTCATCCAGAAAATTTTACATATAAGGTTTGTATAATATGGTTTGTTAGTTCTGATATATAGATAAATATATTTTTAGAAAATATATAAATAATTCTGGAATTATGTCATTGCATGTTTGATATTTGGATATGGTACTGAGCTGGGTAAGTTTAAATGGATTAAACTATGTTTAGGTACAATTTTTATCTAATATATATTAAGTATATGATCAATAGGTATACTCTATTGGTGATGTAAAAGTCATCTTGTATATTAATATAGCTTATCTTACTTTGTAAAAATACAAATAATAATAATAATAATAATTAGTAGTAAACGATGATTATGTCAATCGCGCAAAAGTCGTGATAACTATAAGAATAGCAACAATAATAATATAATAAAATATTAATGTCGGTAATGACTCTAACAATACGAAAGAAGAAGATTTGAAGTTATGGCAAAAGTGATTTTATGAATATATAAATGCTCACTTATAATTGAATTCAATGTATAATAATAAAACCACAAGCTACCTACTAATAATCTACGTTGTGTTTTTAAGGATTTTATATGCATTACGTACACCAAAATCATAGAATATTTCAAACAAATGCTACTCCTTATTGCACTATATGTTAGATTCCTTCCTTTCAACGAATTATTACAATTTTAACGAACTAATTATCCTTAATTAAGATAATTATAAATATTTAATATCTAATTTAATCTTTTTTTCTTAATCAAAAACACTATGTTGATTATTTTGTATTATTTAAAATTAATTAAATTATAAATAATAATTACCTCAATAGATTTGAAGTCGACAAAACGTGGATAAAAAGTTCTCACGAGTTAAAAAAAAAAAAAAAGTAAAAGATCATACCCGTTTAAATTTTGTTTAATTAGTTTTTAATTGCTGTTATAAACGCACTAATTATTTTCTTTCCTGGGTTTTGTTTTTGTTTTTGGTTATATTCAAAGAAGTTGCAACAGCAAGAGGAGTCTAATTGCCAATTGCCATCTTTTTAACGACGTAGAGAGCATATAGCATATTTATGTAACTTCTTAATTCTTGCTCTCAACTTTCATTATGTACGTATAAAATATAGATTTGTATTATCTTTTCAATTTTGTGCAGAAAGATCAATATAATTAATTGATTGTCATATACGTAAACACACAGACGTAGACATATATAGCATATTGTGAAGAAAGAAAAAGAGAAATGGGAAGAAAATTGGGAGGAAAGAAAGAAGATAATGTGGCAGTTGCAATAGACAAAGACAGAAACAGCCAATACGCCTTGAAATGGACTGTCGATAATCTTCTCTCCACTGGCCAGAAAATAACTCTCCTCCATGTTCATCATCATTATCATTCTTCTTCTACTTCCAACTCTTTTACAGGTTACTTTACATTAATTCCTTCTTCATCTTATATATTTTGGGGAATAAAAGATTTTTATATTGTGAGCACGTTCATTCGATATCTCTCTTTCTTTCGAAGCAGGCCACGATGAAGCTAGCATACAATCTAAAGGAGCGGATATGTTTCTTCCGTTCCGATGCTTTTGCGCTCGGAAGGATGTGAGATCTTCTTCTTCCTTTTTTCCTACTCTAATTCTTTTTTTTTTTTTTAATGAAAACTTACATATATTTATATATTCATTATATGATACATGTACGCTAATTATAATACATTCTCCTAACAAAAATAGTGACATAAATCTAAATGTAATAATGTAAGTCAAATTTTGAGATAAATTAAAAGGATTTGTGAAAATTTATTTACAAATTCACGCATAATTTGAAATAGAAGATGGTAAGAAATAACTCTATATGGAATTGCATGCTTAAATCTCGTTGGTTTCTATAGAATTAAGAAAGCACTATTTTAATTCTACTTTGAATATCATATAAAATCAACATTTTTATTTTCTAATTGAATTGTGAATATCACTGAAAATATGATTTTGTTTCCAACATATTACATTATTTGAATCCAAAGGGAATTATCAATACCACAAGAGATTAAAACAAACACAGGCCGAAACGTCACTATGCGCGCAAATTGTTCCTCTACTAGACATAAATCTGCTAACAAAATCTTCTAATTGAATAATTGGTATGCTCGTTTCTTTATAAAAAATTATAAGTTCGAATTAGAGTTACTTATTTCTTTTCTCTTTGTTCATAATTGTATTATGATTGATACAATGCAGCGAATATATACTAAAAAAACATATATAAATCTATTCTTAAGATTCTTCTTTTCAATCACATGACCTATTTGTTATCTGTGCAGATAAAATGCAATGAAGTTACAGTGGAGGCAACTGATATAGCTAAAGCAATAACCGAATATGTATCTGCCAACGCAATTGACACTTTAGTACTTGGTGCACCATTAAAAAGTGGCTTTGCAAGGTAATTGACTTAAATATATACGTATATAATAACTGAGATGTCGAAGTACGTGCTAATGTTATATATATACCTCCCTGTTGGACAGACGATTTAAAACAGATATTCCAAGTACTGTATCAAAAGGGGCACCAGACTTCTGCACCGTGTACATCATCTCCAAAGGGAAAATCTCAACTGTAAGAACTGCCACAGCTCCACCACCAGCAAGCCCAAGCCCGAGTCCAAGCCCAAGCCCGAGTCCAAGCCCAAGCCCGAGCCTTCAATTACGGACCCAATCCAGCCACCAGTCTCGAACGAATGATTTCAAGCACCACCACAAGCCAATAGGTTTGTTCTGTTGTTCTACTTAATCTAATACCGTTCAAGACTCTGGCATGGGTAACTGATTTTCGTCTAATCCTAATATAGTTGCAGAGAGGTTCCCACACATAGAACTACCCCACAGGATAGAGGAAGACTCAGAGATGATCAAGTAAGTACTAACATGTACATCTACTGCTTATGAAAGAAATGGGTATGCTGATGATTACGAAATAAACTTACTTGCAGAGACTTCGATTACGAATCATAATCCCAGTACATCACTGTTGAAGCTGATATAAGTGTAAATCTATGTGTTAAATGATTTCAATAATTCACCCATGAGAAGTCCTAAGCAAGCATAATATCAGCAATTTAACAAGCTATTTAATAATAGGATTACCAGAAAATGATAACGATTCTGGTTGTAAGCTGTAAGAATAAACGCCAAAGGCAGAACTGACTTAAAAACAACTTACTGAACAGGTCACCATTTACTAGATCAGCTAGAAGAAATACCAACAAATATAAGCCATCAATTCCAGAGACGGATATATCATTTGTGAGCAGCGGAAGACCAAGCACCGAGCGTACGTTCCCTGCATTCTATGAGAATGTGGAACCAGTAATGAACCCAGGGCTTTCTCCACGGTTCTCCCCACGGTTTTCAAATATCTCAGAGCCTGATGATAGAAGGTCTGTTTCAACTTCATCGTTCACAAGAAAGTCACTAGATTACCATTCACCGTGGGAATCCTCATCAAGCTCACTAGAAAGTGGGAGATCATCATGCTCGACACAATACAATGTAAGGACTCAACAAACCCAAAAAGGTCACTTAGGATTTAGATAGACTGAGGCTCAGATATCTTTTCATGCATGAAAAATCATAAAATCCTCATTTGTCTGAGGATTCAACTCCAGTCAGTTTATTATAGAATATGTAATCGAAGTCTATCTGCTTACAGTAGCCTAAATCAAAATAGCTACTTTTCACGCATATTTCAGCTACTAAAGATGCATTTAGACAAACAGAAAAAAGAATATCAAAGTTAATCCTCAGAAATTACAGGACGACCTGGAAGCTGAAGTGAAAAGACTAAGATCGGAGATCAAGCAAACAATGGATATGTACAATAACGCCTGCAGAGAAGCAGTCACAGCAAAATATAAGGTATCAATTGCTGAAATTTTGCACATTTGCTGTGAAATTTTTAAAAGGGAAAAGAACCAGCAATTTCTTTTGGTTTTGTCAAAATCATTCATAAAAGCTTCTCATAATCTTACTGTAGGCTAAAGAGCTTAACCGCTGGAAATTGCAAGAAGAACATAGATTAGAAGAGGCAAAACTAGCTGAGGAAGCCGCATTGGCCTTGGCAGAGAGGGAGAAAGCCAGGTGCAAGGCAGCCCTTGAGGCAGTTGAATCAGCTAGGAGAATGGCTGACCTAGAAGCTCAAAAGAGAATCAGCACAGAAAAGAAGGCTCTCCAAGAAGCTGAGAAGAAGCTACAGATTACTTTCCCTCGCGTTGATATCAGATATAGGACATACAAAATCGAGGAGCTTGAAGAAGCAACTGATAATTTTTCAGATTCTCGCAAGATTGGAGAAGGAGGTTATGGGCCTGTCTTCAAGTGCCGCCTAGACCATACTCCAGTAGCAGTAAAAGTTCTTCGCCCAGATGCATCTCAAGGCCAATCACAATTTAACCAAGAGGTTTGCAGCTCTCTGCATCAATATAACAAAATTACAAATATCTTGAACCGTGTTTATTTTCCAGAACTTAGCACGTGAAATATATAATGCAGTAGTAACTGCAATAAGTACAAATCTTATGATAAAACTACTTAAATGACAAATAGAAAACAACAGTCAATTGTTTTAAAATAAAGAAAGCTAAATCTATAACAAGTTAAATTAGATGGAGATGATTGCATTTCCTGATTTTCATTTTGTTGTGATCTTTACTCTTTCCCAGGTTGAAGTATTAAGCTGCATTCGGCATCCAAACATGGTTCTTCTGCTTGGGGCCTGCCCAGAATATGGATGCTTAGTCTATGAGTATATGGCCAACGGGAGCCTAGAAGACCGCCTTTTCCGGCGAAGGAACACCCCATCTCTTCCTTGGCAACTGAGATTCCGAATTGCTGCAGATATTGGCACAGGTCTCCACTTCCTCCACCTGACCAAGCCCGAACCACTTGTTCACCGTGACCTAAAACCAGCAAACATTTTACTTGATCGAAACTTTGTTAGCAAGATCAGTGATGTTGGTTTGGCTAGGCTCCTTCCTCCATCAGTGTCTAATGCTGTAACTCAGTATCGCATGACAGCAGCTGCTGGAACATTCTGTTATATTGACCCAGAGTATCAACAGACTGGCATGCTTGGAATAAAATCAGATATATATTCACTCGGAATCATTTTTCTACAGATAATAACAGCCAAGCCTGCAATGGGTTTGACTCACTATATTGAACTAGCTATCGAGAATGGAACTTTTGCTGGGTACTAGATCCAACTGTTCCTGACTGGCCAGTTGAGGAGACCTGAAGTTTGCCCAACTCTCTCTTCAGTGTGCTGACTACGGCGAAAGACGACCTGATCTGGTAATGTTGTTTGCCTGAGCTCGA